AGCCTAAAATGCTGTAACACTGTAGGTTTCTCTCCCCCCGCTGAAAACCTGCATGATTATTTCCACCCAGAGAAATGTCACCTCTTTTAAACTCCCTGCCCATCAGGAAGAAGTGTTCTGTCCATTGAAAGGATTGTTACAAACACACAGCATTTCCAGCACTTTGTTCTCTGCACTCACAAACACTCTGATCACTCTCAAATGACTGTTATTTAACAACACCACATGTCAACCCCAGGCATGCTGTACCTCTTCCTTCACCACGAACTGTTTGGCTGTTTTTGGACCTCCTGTGGGTTCCTCAGCTGCCATTTTCAGCAGTGTCAGGCTTTTCCCCCCTGTGCAAAGTCCAGATATATATGAAACTAAGTCAATATTTGATTTCAGTGTAAAGTTAAAAGGTTCATGTCTGCATTCTAAAGTAGCAAATGTGGCTCGCTGGAGGAAGCCAGGGACGTGTGATGGCAAGTTCAATTCACATTTGCGGCTCCACCCAATGGTTTCAGATTCCAATAACCCAAAGGAGAAACGTAAATTTGGATCAAATCCCTGACTTGCACAGTTGTAATAGTCCTATCAGCTGCTAAGTAGCTATGCTGGCTGAAGACACCCTTCTCAACTATTCACATGTCAGACACACACAGGCAAAGTTCATCCCCTTCAGTCAAATTGTTTCACTGTGGTCTGGGTGAAATGCTCTGCCAGCAGTGTGTGGATAAAGGACCACACACTCCATCGTGGAAGTGGGAAAAAAACCCCTTCTACCAAGAGGATTTCAGGGGTGAAAACTGCCTGCTGTGAAGAACCAGAACCAGAACCTACCTCTACCTTACACACATCCCAACCAAACACAGAAATGACTCGACCTTCTGCCAAAAGCCAAGGTCAAAGAGCCCTACGTGTGTTGCAAGTGCAGGAGGCACGTGGAGCTGGTGACACCAGAGCAGGGCAGTCTCTCACTGGCAATGCTGTGCCCAGCACCCTGCAAAAGGCAGCTGAATATCTGCCCAAAGCACTTTCAGCACAGAGACTTACACCAGGGAAGCTCATCTCTGTTAAGCTGGAATCCTGAAAATCATCAGGAATCATAAAGCAAAAGCCAGTGAGAAGCAGCAAACCAGTTTAAACCCCGGGAGAGACAAAGATGTCCATCCCCCATACCAGTAACTTTCCATGAAGTCAACAGGAATCTTTCCATGCTCCAGCTAGGGTTTAATAAGGCTCTGTGTGGCCTCTAGCAATGAACAGAAGTGTGTGAAGACCTTCTCTGTCGCACTAAATGTTAGCACTTTCATTTTTCACTCTGTCTTCATCCTTTTATGATAACATCTACTGCGTATTTGTGAAATGTGGAAGAGCAACAACCAGTTTTCTTACATGTTGGATTGGGATTTAATTCCAAGAAGTAGTTAAAAGGGATAGGGAGTACTAAACATTTCTATTTACTAAAAACTAACCTGCGTAAATCCACTTCCTCAGTCTGCACACAGGGCAGGCTCTTCCTCAGGACACTGTTTTTGGATGAAGCAGGTCATCAACAGGTCATCAAGGCCAAACATTCAGACTGGTTATACGTAACACAAGTCTTGAAAAGAAACCCTGACCTGCTAAACCCAATTCTGTTCCTTCAAAAACACGTTCTATAGTCTTTTCTTAAAGCAATGAAGCTCCACCTCAAAACTATGCAGGTTTATTATCTGCCTCACTGCTGTTTGTATGAAAAACTGCTCAAGAACCTCACTTGCTTGGCTTCCAACTTCTACCCCAATTTAGGCCACTCAGTTGTTACCCATTTGTTCTGGAGCCAGCAATGCCTGGAACTGCCTTCACCTGGCATTTCAGAGCTTTATCTGCCTGTGGTCTCTTGCTGTGACTCTCCAGAACAAGATCAGCCTTTCCACCAAACTTGTGCAAAAGCAGCCCAGGCCAGGACCAGCAGTTCCCAGAGGTTCCTGGTCATCCAGAGGTAGCAAAGGAGGCTCTGTGTGATGCCTGAAGTATTAAGCCTTAAAAACATAAAAAAACTCACAAAGCCAGCCACAACAAATTCACCTCCCACGTTTGGACAGTGCTTTTTGCACTGTCAATATAAATATACACCAGAGGAGTAGACAGAGAACCTTGCTGAGGGTTTTTTTTTCGGATGGGGCTGAGTAAATCTTCCTCTTTTAGCCTCTCCCTCACAGGAAATCCTGTTCCACAGATCACACTAATCCTTCACAGAAGCTTACAGGTATCAGTGTGTGTCTCTCTCAAACGTGGATTACCACAGCTGTTCCCCAAATCCCACAAGCACCTGTAGCAGTGGTTTGTACAACAGGATTAATACTCACCTACATCAGTTCCAAAAACATACTAGAACCTCATCTCACGGCTTTTCAACACAGCTCGCTCTCTGCTGACAGATTCAAGGGTGACTTGCTACTTAAAATAACAAAAAAAATATACAGTTTCAGTCGTTTGATTTATCACTAAAATCTGAAATGGGTGAAAACCTCAAAGAGAGAGGAGACTGATCTATCTCAGCTTCTGTAGTTCGGGTCTCCTCCACAAGTGGGTGCAGTAACTCTTTGTGTAGCGTCATTTTCAAAAAGTTCCACCAAAAAGCAATTTTTTTCCAAATTCAGTTGGCTGTAAGAAGCGAGAGCTGTGGCTGTTATGAAGCTGAAATGGTTAAATTTGGTTAAACAAGGGCTGCAGTTCTGGTACCTCACGCTGGTCATGATGTCAAGGGTGGCAACCCCTCTTGCTCATGAAAAAAATCAGCTGCGACTGAAAATCGAATTTAACACCACAACGTTGGGTTTCTACAGCCCTGATTGCCTTCAGAACAGACCTTGTCTTCCAGCCCTCTGACAGGAAGGTTCTTCTTCTCTCTCACAAAATTCCCACTGCACCATTTGAGTTAAAAACACAAGGCAGCTCACACAGCAGCCTGGGAACCTGGCTTAGGATTACAGGAGCTCTAAGAATATATATTTTTAATAGTTATCAATGCAATCTTAAGAATATGTCACAGCACTCACATTTATCAGCTGCCTGCACATGAAGCAACAGCACTCAAACTATAAATTACGGGAAAAAGCAAATGTTTGGCCCAATTCTGCTTTCTCTAGCAATTTCTGTGGCCAGTGTTACAGGGTTTTGCTGGCAAATCATGCTGCTTCTTCCATTTATTTCATGTTGGGGTCATGCACAAGGCATGCCATTTATAAAACATGTAGCTTTATTCCTATTTCTTACTCCTTCTTACTCCTGGCTTTCTTTGAAGTCAACATCCAGTCGTTCTACAGCTTAAAAATTATCCTTCCCAGGAGTTAAAATCTTAAGCCAGCTGAGGCCTGTGAATCAGCTTAAAGAGAAGCCAAGGTATCACCACTATACTTTAATATTAACCCTTACACATGGTTATAAATCATATATATGGATTAGCTTTTCTAAATCACTTTTCAGAAGACATTCTCCAATCCAAACACACATCCCAGCTGACAGCAACCAGATCTAATGGAAGCTCAGCAGTGGTGTCCTAAAGCAAGCTCAAGATGAAACAAAATACAGGTTCTTTTATAAATAACCTGCAAAAGGGACACTGGCAGTGTTTTATGCACGATTTACCCAACAGCACTTTGAGATAACGTGTGCTGATGACAAACACCATTAAAAGCTCCCAAGTTGCTTTAAACTTGTGACTGAAACAAAAAGCAATTCTAGAAACAAAATCAATTAATTAGCAGAAGTCGATGGGAGAAAAGGGGGGTGCGTGGGGGGGGAATGTTTAATTTTTGTCGTGGTATTTTGCAGCACGGACGACCCGCTCAGTGCCAAGTAAAACATGGAAAAATAACTGCAGGACAAACAGCAACAACAAGGCCTATCTCGCATGGGCAGAGGAGGGTTATCAGCATCTCCACGTTGTTATCAAACTCCCAGACAGCTGTGAGGGCTGGGAGAGACATTCCCAAAGAGCGGATGGGAGAGCATGTGAGGGAACAACGTCATGCACGGGACACACAGGCACAGAAACAACAGCAGAACCACAAGGCTTGAAAAAAGAACACGTTACTCAGTTATTACTTGACCTGGGACAAAACAAAATGAAAGAGTGGTTGATGACAAGCTCAACACGAGCTGGCAGCCCAGAGATCCAACAGTGCCCTGGGCTGTGCCGAAAGGAGCGGCAGGGCAAGGGAGGGGATTCTGCCCCCCCAGCTCTGCTCTGGTCAGACCCCACCTGCAATCCTGCACCCAGCTCTGGAGTCCCCAACATAAGAAGGACATGGGACTGCTGGAGCAAGTCCAGAGGAGGCCACACAGCTGATAAAGGGAATGGAGCACCTCTGCTATGAAGGCAGGCTGTGAAATTGGGGCTGCTCAGCCTGGAGCAAAGAAGGCTGTGTGGAGACCCCAGAGCACCCTACAGTACCTGAAGGGACCACAGGGAAGCTGGAGAGGGACTCTCCATCAGGGAACTGTAGTGACAGGACAAGGACTAATGGATACAAACTGAAAGGGGGGAAGTTCAGGTTAGGTATCAGGAAGAAATTCTCCACTGTGAGGGTGGTGAGACACTGGCACAGGCTGCCCACGGAGGCTGCGGATGCCCCAACCCTGGCAGCGTTCAGTGCCAGGCTGGATAAAGCCTCAGGCAACCTGGTCTGGCGGAAGGCGTCCCTGCCCATGGAACGAGTGGGATCTTTTAAGCTCCCTTCCAACCCGTTTACGCTCCACGAAACAACTCCATGCGGGGGGCGGGGGGGGGGACAGACAGGCACAGAGACGACAGCAGGACCTAAAAGAGCGAGGCGTTGCTCGGCGGTTCGGCGGCTGGGGCAGAGCGGCGGGGAGCGGCTCCGCCGGCAGCGCTGAGGGGGCTGAAGCGGCTGAGGGAGGCGGCTGAAGCGGCTGAGAGACGTGGCTGAGGCGGCTGAGGGAGGCGGCGGGGCCGGGGCCGGGGCGGGGCCGGTGTCCCCGCGATGGCGCCGGGCGGCGCCGGGAGCTGCGCGGGAGGTTCCGGGCCCGGCCGGAGCTTCCGGGAGCGGCCGCGCTGAGGGGCAGGAGGAGGAGGCGGAGAAAGAGGAGGAGGAGGAGGATGAAGAAGGAGCAGGTGGTGCACTGCCAGTTCTCCGTGTGGTACCCGCTCTTCAAGGCCGTCACCATCCGCAGGTGAGGGCGGCGCGGGGCCGGGGGAGGCGGGGTGGAGGGGAGCGGTGCGGGGTGTAAGGGAGCGGTGTGTGGGGCTGGGTGGGTGGGAGCCGTGCTGGCAGAGGGAGGGGGTTCTGCCCCTCCGCTCAGCCCCGGTGAGGGTCTCCTGGGGTGCCGTGTCCGGTTCTGGGCTCCTCAGTGCCAGAGGGACGCTGAGCGCCTGGGGCGGGTCCAGCGGAGGGGGGTGAGGGCGGTGAAGGGGCTGGAGAGATGATGATGAAGGGAATTGTCTCTTACAAGGAAAGGCTGAGGGAGCTGGGCCTGTTCAGCCTCGAGAATCACTGAATGGTCTGGGTTGGAAGATCATCCAGTTCCAACTTGAAGATCATCTTGTTCCAACCCCCCCTGCCCTGGGCAGGAACACCTTCCCACTGGACCAGGTTGCTCCAAGCCCTGTCCAACCTGGCCTTCCAAGGATGGGGCATCCACAGCCTCCCTGCATAACCTCTGCCAGTGCTTCACCACTCTCACAGTAAATAATTTCTTCCTAATATCTAATCTAAACATACTCTGTTTCAATTTGAACCTACTCTTCCTTGTCCAGTCACTATCTACTCATGTAAATAGTCTTGCCCCGTTTGTAAGTTCCTTCAGGTACTGTAAGGACTGAGAAGGGACCTCATTAACGTGTATAAACATCTAAAGGAGGGTGTCAGAGGATGGACCGGGCTCTCCTCAGTGTTGCCTAGCAATAGGACAAGAGGGAACGGGCAGAAACTGATGCCCAGAAAGTTCCAGCTGAATATGAGGAGGAACAACTTTCCCGTGCAGTAACAACGCCATGATTTGTGCAGTACAACAGATTTCCCAGAGAGGCTGTGGAGTGTCCTTCACTGGAGATATTCCAGAAGTGAACACAATCCTGTGCAATGTGTTTCTGTGTGTTTCTGGAAGCCTTAGGGAATTCTACAGTTTCTGAGGTGCTGCTGCAGGTGATGGGATGGTTACAAGAACTACCAGTAACTCAGGAAAGTGAAGCTTGAGGTAGTTGCCTTGTTGGATCAAAAAGTGCTGGCATCAGGCTTTTAGCAATCAAAGTATTAGGTCTTTTGTGTTTTTGTTAAGGCTTAGCACAGGCTTATTTTTGGTAAGTTTAATGATAGCCCTGCATTTTCGGAGCATTAGGATGGTATAGGCTAACTTTGGGTTGTATTTTGGAAGGGAAACCTTTAGTTTGAGCAACATTTGTGTGGCCTGTGAGGAAACAACATTTTTACCTTAGAATTTCTTAGAGCTTTGAAGGAGTGGGGCATTTTTATGTATTTCATCAATAACTTTTGTCTCTCTGTCCTGTACTTCCCTGGAGGGAAATTTGGCATTGCTTTTTGGGTAAAGGATAAGAGGGGAAGAAGAGAATTGTTTTTTCATAGGGTTAGAGGATGAAGCACGGTGTTATTGAAAAAAAAGTGCTGTTGAAAAAATGAATTCTTTTGTTCAACTAGTTCTTTATCCTAACAAGTAATATTAATAATAAGGTATTAAAGAAATTTTCGTGTTTCTTCCAGTGTTATTCTTCCCCTGCCAGAGAATGTGAAAGAATATTTGCTGGATGATGGAACGCTCGTGGTTTCCGGAAGGTAAAGAAAAACGTTTTGCATTTTACATTTTACCATTTTACATTCACAACCCTGTTTTGCCTACACAGATTGCATTTTGCATAATGAATTTTTTTAAAATCTGTCCAGTCTGGCTGCAGCAAACCTCATCCTGTATGAGCATGGGAGTGGGCTGACTGTCGATACTAAAACTTGATTTGCTGGGGCCTGAAGCAGATCCTAAAATCCATGTCATAAACTTCATTCTAGACCCAGTGGAGACAGTCCTTTTGTTTTCTCCCACCTTTCCTTGCAGAGTGGCCCAGGCTCTGGGGTGCTCAGCTGGTGGTTTGTGTTTGGTTTCTTGGATGTCCTTAGGTCCAGTTTGGAGGCTTGACCTGTCCCATGCCTTTCCCGTGGCAGCTGCCTTAGCCAGGGCTGAAGGGACATTACCTGAGTTTCATTCTCAATAGAATGAGCTGGGAGTTTACCTCTCACAGACCAACCAGGCAGGCTGTGAGTGAAATGAGAGCTGTGTCTGATTTATCAGCTATCAATTTGTTTAAAAACAGAGCTGTTTAACCACCTTGTAAAGAGGAAAAGTATTTTGGAAAAGAATAATTAAGAAAGAGGGTGTTGAAAAATTTTGATTAGGGTGCTTTTAGAAGAAAAAAAAGATCTGCTAATTTGAAAGAAGCAAAGTGTTTATGGGAGGGCCCAAGCCTAGTGCAGGGTGTTCAGGCTTCAGTTTTCTATCCTGGCTTGCTCTGATGTTTCCCTACTAGGGGTTTTGAGGTTTGCTCTTCTTATGAAAACATTTGTTGCTCAACAGCTGGAGATGCTGTGGAAATATAATGGATATGATCAAGTCGAACTCCAGTGCTTACTTTCTTTTTCCTGTGAATTTTTTGTTTCAGAGAAGATCCACCAAGTCACGCTCAGGAGGGCAGTGATGACACAGAGGAGATCCAGGTCAGTGTGAAATGCAACTTAATGTCAAGTCTCATGAGAAAAATAAGAATGTATAACCTTTTCTGCATAACTGTAGGTGAGGAGAGTCCTTCTTGGAAATAATAATCATGTGGTAGTTGCCTTGGAAAACATGAAACATCATTATTTATGCTGTGACATCAGGCAAGTTTTAAAAGGTTTCTGTGCTCTTTCACGGGAGACTGTTTTTTATTTCTTGATAATTGCATTTGTAATAATGAGTAGGGAATTTTGAAGGATATTGGAATTGAGCTTAATGCTCTTTCGTGCCCTGAGAAATTTGGAGGAGTTACTTCAGGAACCAGGGATAGCTTCTGAGGCCATAATAGGTCAGAAGAACATTTTAGAAGGAAAACAGTGAACGATGTTGTAAGTGCAAGGTGACAGAAGAATGATGAAAAAGGAATAGAAGTGAAACAAATGGATCATAGGCCTAAGGATGGAAGTGCTGGAGACAAGCTTTAGACAGGGAAGACTCTGAGTTTTGAAGTGTCCCAAGTTTGTGGTATAAATCACAATTAAAATATATAGGTGTCTTTTTTCCCTACTTTTAGAATGACACTTCTGCTGAATATACAGTATTTTTCCTATCTTAGTTCACAGCCAAAATAATGAGAAGTTGGTGATGTTATGCTCTCTGGGGCAGTGATTTGATCTGTGTGTTGTAGGAGCTGCATGAATCCTGATCTTCTCACAAATTATAAAAGATGTCCCAGGAAACCAGTAACCCTTGTTTTGTTCTTATTTTTAACAGTGGTCAGATGATGAGAACACTACAACCCTTAAGGTAAGGTCCTATAAAAGCCTGACATGGGTTTGTCAGCAGATTTGCTTTTTGCAGGCCTTGTGACACAAAACCTGTTGCTGGTCAGACGCATCTCTGGCTGTGTTTGCCATTTCTCAGACCCTTCTGGATGGGTGGCAGTGTATTTGTCTGGAACTTCAAAAAAGTTTCGCTGGCTCAGTTTGATTTAACTAAAAATAAAACGCTTTTCTTCATCCCCAACAATCACACACTTTAGTTAGACTATAGGAAATGAACTGAAGTGCAGCTCTAAATATAGCTGGCTTTCATTTTCACCACTTTGAGCATCTCCCAATTATTTAATCAGGCTGGATGCAGGAGAAACGAAGCCCCTGCAGCTCAATTTTCACAGCTCTTCTCTGAACGTGCCATTATTTCCTCCTAAGTACATTTATTCCTACCATTCTTCTTTAATTTTTCCTGTCTTTATGGTGCTTGGCACAGAATCAGGATCATGATGGATGCAAAACAGGCTTCCTTGATCTTTTTTTTGCATCTTTTTTTGAAACTTGCCTCCCTCCCCGCTTCTGTATTCTGAGGAAGAATTAGAATCCAGGAAGCTCTAAACACAAAGAAAAATAAGAGAAGCACTTTTTTTTTCAGTTTTCCAAGTGTAGTTTCCGAGGGAGAGTAGGTAAAGTACCAAGGAAAGGTTCAGAATGTTTGAAGTTCAGTCCAGGTCACTGCACTAAAATGTGAGAGGGTTTTTCAGGTGTTTGCATCTGGGGAGGCTGCAGTTAAGGAGATGCCAAAGTGCATGAGGTTTTTTTGATCACTTGTGTGACTGTGAGGGCTTTGTTGTTTTAGAGACATCAATTACCTTTGGCCTAGAAGTTATCTTTGAGTTGAGTTTAAAAGTACTCAGACAGTATTCTTGCTATAAATCTTATCACATGAAAAATCTCTGATATATCTGCTCGAAATCCTTTCATGTGATTTTAAAGGTCAACAAGGTTTCTTTCTGTAGCACCACATTCTGAGTGGAGTTTAGAGCATCCTGAGGAATTTTCCCCCCTCATCTTATGTTTTTAATGTTCTTTACAAGGCAAGGTTTTCTAGTTCAGCCTTTGCAGTGTGTCCTCTGTTTTGAGTCAATATATTGTTGAGGCCTAATTTAAGAGCTGATCAGTTAAAGTATTGCTAACAAGGTTTTATAAAACTAAAGCTTAAATGAGGAGCTGTTACTCAAATTGCCTGTGAGTTGACAGAGATGCTTAATTCTAAAATAACTTTTTAAGTCTAAATATTATTGGGCCTTATTTGTGTACAATAATCTACCACCCAGTATGAAACAACAGGTAAGTAATTAAGGTTTGTTTCTTTGACATTTGTTGCAGATTTCGTGATCAATGTTACAAAGTTTCAGGTTTTCCCCTGAAGTTCCTGGTACCTGTTAGTGATGAGAGTCAGAACTAGAAACATTTTCAGTTTTCTCTGACTGAAAGAATGTCAGATTTGTTTATTAAGTAATTTATTTCCACAGAGACATTGTTTTTTGGGGGTTCCTACTGATTTGGGACACGTTAATTTCTTCTGCAATGTGTATTTCTGATGGTATTTAGAAGATGGCTCCACTTCACTATTAAATGTCTTGAAATGAATATTTTTGTTGTTTTATTTCATTCAGGCACCAGAATTCCCTGAGTTCACATCTAAAGTGGAGGAAGCAATAAGTTCCTTGGGTGGAAGTGTTTTTCCTAAACTTAACTGGAGTGCTCCAAGGGTAAGAATGGTGACTGCCAAAACTTGTAACAGATGTTATCACGTGGATTTTTTGTTTGTTTGTTTGTTTGTTTGATCTCAATGCACTGGAAAGAAGAAGAGACCAGTGGTCAGGCTCTTCTTATTCAGAGTACTGGCTGAAAACTGCCTGGGGTGAAGATGAAAACCCCCACATTTTTAAAAAAGGCAGTAAACTTCCCTCCCGTTATTTTTAGGTACTCAAACTATACCACAGGGATGAATTCCCCCAAATATTGCTGTATCATGTTCTCAAGAGACACTGTGCTCCTGGAAGCAGTAAGGCAAAAACTTAGTTTTTAAAATGGATTTGCTCTGCTTTCAACATGGTATTTGTGAGAAAACCAGTAACTATTGTGTCTCTTGTAGCAGCTAAAGAAGTTTTCCCCAAAATAAAAAAAAAAACCACAATTTTCTGTATGTATTTCAAATCTTGTGTAATATTCAGATCCATCTTCAGCTGCTTTCCTTCCTGCTGGTAAAGGTGCATTTCTGGCTGATCTCCTGCTTTGTTTAGGATGCCTACTGGATAGCAATGAACAGCTCTCTGAAATGCAAAGCTCTCAGTGACATCTTCCTCCTCTTCAAGAGTTCAGACTTCATTACTCGTGACCTCACTCAGCCGTGAGTAACATTTCTGGTGACAAAATTCTTTATACCCAGCCAAAAAAAAAAAAAAAAAAAAAAGGCAGAGCAGGGAGATGTTAAAGTAGCACGTGCAAAAATGACATTGTGGGCCAAGACCATTTTTACTGACTTGCTTTCCACAGCAGGTGATCACCACGTGCCTTTCAAGTTTTAAAGCTGTTGAGGTTTGTGTGGCTGCCTGGAAGGGGCCTGAAACTTCTGCCAATGTATTTCTAGAGCTCCTTCTGAACCCAAGCTCTTGCACCTCTTGGAACAAATGCATTCCAGGACCTGTGACTGAGGGAAGTTACAGATAAAATTACAAATACGATGTGCTTAGAGCGTATTTTTATCTGCTCACGTGAAAATTGTACAGGAGCAGTTTCCTCCTGTAGTACCTGCATCTGATCGATTTATTTCACTCATTTCTAAAATACAGCATTCTTCTGAGAGAAAATGAAATTCCTGGAGTTTAATACTCCTGTTCCTATGATTACTTTTTTTTTTTTTTTTTTTCCAGACAAGCAGAATTTCAAAGAGAAAGGGCAGTCCGTGGCTTGGTGCCTGAGAGCTTGTTTTCCAGTAGTTACTCAGCACTTATTTCTATTGCTGCAATATTTAGGAGACTCAGTCAAATGCAGAATCTTTGCTCTGGGTGCCTTAGGGAGGGTTACCAAGACTGAGGGTCCCATGTCAAGTGCTTTAGGACTTGACAGAAGTTTTCTTGTTCGAAGTGTGAAAGCAGTTGCATTAATGCCATGCAACTGCCTTCTTTTTCATTCCTGCAGCTCTCTTCCCCCACTTTGTTGATACATAAAAACCCAAGGAGGGATAGGCAGCAGCACCTCGTCCTTATCTCTGCATTTATGGAGTGCCAGGCCAGTTCTGGTGGTGGGTTTGATGTCATGTCAAACCTGCAGCCCTGTGAGGTGCAGGAGAAGAGTCTGAGGAGGAGGGGAGAAGATGCTGGAGTCAGAAGACAGTTTGTAAAGTATGTTGGGCTCGGGAACCAGCTGTGAGATTGAGAATTCCTGATTCTGGGATCACAGAGAATGAAAGGGATGGGGAGATGAGGAATCTGTAGTTTACATTTCAGAGGTGAGTAAATAGTGATTCTCAGAACACTTTGGTGCCTCCCCAAGGAGCTGCTTCTCATGGTTTCCTCTAAGGAGAAGTGGGCTGTCTCAGGGGATGGCTTTCTCAGAGAGTTGAGGGCTAAAATTGAACGTCTCCTTTGCTGTAATGGCTTTCAGGGCTGACTTTTGTGCATCTGCAAAGAACTGCACGCTTTGTATCGACCCTTTGTGACTGTTCAGTAATACAGGTCTTGTATTCTGCCATCCTCATGTATAAAGAGGTTCAGCAAAGAGTACCATGAGCTCCTTGCAGAATTCCTGTTTGGTTTACCACTTGTCCTGATGAGACCACACCCCCCAGCAGATAGCACAGCTGACATGATTGTGGGAAATCACCCTGATCTCTGTGTGTCTTACATTTTATGAATATTTTGTGCTTGATCAAAGCATGTATTATTGTCCAGTCTGTGCATGGTATTTCTAAATTGCTAAGTTATTGGTACAAAATGTCCCCAAACAGTGGCTTGATTATTGCTAAATCAGAACAGTGGTCTTCCTTAATTATACTATTGATTGGCTGCCAGTTTCCTAGCCCTTAGCAAGCAGAAATTAAAAATATAGCTGGCATAAGAACCTGAAGTGCTGAACAAATGAAAATTGCATACATAATGCATCCAAATCCCTTGGAAGGGCTACTTGGAGGGAGGATAAATGCATTTTATTTCCGCTTCTTTCATTAATACTCAGCATGGTCTAAAAGTTTCTTGCCTTGCATAAGTAACAGCTGAAATGCTGTTTACCCTTTTTGTTGTTGTTTTGTTTTCTCTTCAATTATATGAACTTAAAAATCTGCTTCATGGGTCACGAAACGGTAAACATTTTCCACTGGCGATTTGTAGGTCTGATTTTTAACCCAGAAATTGAAGCCAGTGACGTGAGACTTGAGGCAAACCTCTTTCCTTGCTTTTCCTTCCTCTCCCATTCCCTGTTTGCCTCCCTGCTGTCAGTCTATACATTGTTCACAAAAAATCTCGTGGCTGGTGTGATCCTTAACTTTTCAACTTTTAATGTGGCCTCTCAGAAACTCAGCGTTGTGGATGTGTGATTAAAAAAAAAAATCCCTTTCTAAGTGGGTTTTCTGATGAGGGATTAAAACTCTTTTTTTCAGCAAAAGTCCCTTTAAAGCCCTGATGGGTGTTTTGGTTTAGAACACAGTTTTCTTCCTTAGAAGAAGTTAGAATGAGTGGACTGTGTTTTATTAAAACAGGAGTGATTGCCCACCTTGAGACTGGCAGAAATCATCAGTATTTCTAATGATGTGATAATGCCCCTTCACTTATAAGATAAGGCTGATATCGTGCTCATTAATAAACCTTACAAATGTTTCAGAGATTGTCCCTGTTCTAAATGCTAGAGTGTTCTTATTTTTCCAGTTGTTTAATAATCACAACCACAGAGGTGAAATAAGTCTGGTGATTTTAGCAACCTAATGCAGGGAACTTCTTTTGCAAGGATTGCCCTTTGACTTAGGACAGAGTCGGCACGAGGCACATTTTCTTTCTTTATTTAGGTGTTTATCAGAGGGCTTCTCAATACTGAATTCTAAAGAAATGATGAATTTTTTCTGAGATGTGGAGGAACAGGCTGTGTTCTCCCAGCAGAACACAGGAGGCACTGTTGGATCATGAAGATGTGCCTTGGCACTCCGATAACCAGAACAGAAGCTGTTGGCTCAGGCTTTAATTTAACCTGTTTCAAGGAAGGCAGTTACACATGAGAGGATGAAGAAAATGAGGCCTTTGATGATGATTTTTTTTTTTCTTGAGGTTTTACTCTCACCCCGTTCTTCTGAGCAATTCACAGTGTGGTAAAAGATCTTCTTTTGAATGGTGCTTGAATTTCCCATTTCTTTTAGTCCTTAAAGTTCCAGGAAGGTTCAGTATTCAAGGAATAAAGATACAGTTCAAAGGCTGTTAGAAGTTTCTCCTTTGATTTTTTTTAATTAAGGTTTTAAAATAAGCTATGAGCTGATAGCAGGGAAAGTGTCAGGTACAGAATAAATTTTACAATTCTCATCATATTCATAATAGTTCCTAATTATCCACAGAATGCCCTCAGTGATTTGCAAATGAGTTCATGGCTTTCTTAGCAGGGTAGGTACTGGGGGTGTTGCAAACTTTCTTGAAATTGCTCTTCTCAGTGTTGAGAACTGAACTACACAGTGGCTTTGTATGTCCTGTGGTCGAGAAGGTGCATTTGGAGTTTTAATACAACTGCTGCATGTAAAGAGACCTTGATCCTTCTGCTCTTGATAGTATAAATCTGTAAACAAGCTGTTGACCACAGCACAGACCTACAAGCAGAAGAGTTTGATCCCTTCACCCTTAACAGTAGTCAAAATGACAGTTTTCAGAGGTTTCAGAAAATACAGCCCAAATATGTCTCTATTTGGGTTTCCTGAAGTCTTTCTGATTGTTCTTTCAAGTACCTCCAGACCCGAGTAGGATGTGGGTTAAAAAAAACCCCACTTAGTCTTTTGCCTCTGGAGATCAAAGGCCCACCTGTAATAGATTAGCTCAGATGGGTCTAAACAATTAATGCTGCAATGAACTGGTAAAAACTATAAAATTGCAACCTCAAGTTGCCCAAAATTTACCCCCAGAACAGGAGTGGCAGTAATGTGCTTTTGTTGACAAATCCTTGGGGTGGCACCCAAGGGTTTAATTTTCTGACTTACCAAGGAGAGAGGAAGTGTCTTTCCCCACACAGCTCTTGTCCAAAACATCTGAGGGTTGAGTTAGGAGATAATTGTGGTTGTTCATTAGGCTGGAGTTTTCTGAGTGCTGGAAAAGCCTGTGTGTTGTAGGACTGAAGCAGATTGCAGGTACCCAAGTCTCAGGTAGGGAAGTCTGAGAGGCAAAGCAGGTCAGAGCGTGCAGAGACTGTAAACCCCCATGTGCTGGACTTGGGCTGCCTTTTTATATATTGTTTATTTTTACTTTGTTGTGTGTGTGGGGATGTTTTCCTCACCGTGATAGGCACATATTCTAGTAAGGGAGGAATTCTGAGCTGAGGAATTCAAAACTGTGAGCTCTCACGGGTTTGTTTCTCTTGCCTTGACGGATCTGAAATTGCGGGGAATCCAAACTGGAGCTGAAGGATGTTATCTGTTTACACAGGCTCACAGATATATGTGATGTGTTTGATCACAGAGCTTTTGGAAAGCTATTACCCTACTTTTCTGGGTGTTGTGGATAATAAAGTCTAGACTAAAACGTGTGAAGTGTATTTCTGCTGGCAGCTCACAGAACGAGCTCTCACAGTCGCGCTTCGCTTCCAACCGAAGGCTGGGCAGCCATGACTTACAAACACGATGCTTATGGGAGACAGGGGACACTTTTGGGTTGCTCCATCAAGTTCTCTGCCAAGAGGAGATGGTATAAATGTTGCATTTAGGACTCTGGCTCAGCAGTGACCCTTTGCACAGTTCTGTGAGTCTGAGGAGTTGGTTGCCGAGAAGGTCGGGGAGTAGAACTGGAAGGAAAATGCACATTTTGCTGCAAATTCCCTCTGGAAGTTGCACAATTTATTGCAAGGTTTGCTGTAAGACATGGAAGTTGACTTGGGTTATAACTGCCTCCATTCTTGATGGTGTCTGAAAGGAGACACACAAGAGTCAGCTACTCACAAGGGACAAAACCTTGACATCTGCTTGCAGTTATGGAAATAGTTTTGTTTATTCCCTCTCTCGAGAGAGATTTGTAAGAGTATTTCTTAAGGCTCTTAATTTAGAAAGATCCTGTGCCGTGGAATCAGAAGTGCCGAGCAGCAGCAGCAGCGCTGTTTTGCATCCTTTATTCATGGAAATGAGCTGCTGTAAGGCATGATGATGTGTCTCTGTTGTGTGCTTTGGGAAGTTAAACATTAAAACATGCTGCAGTGAAACTGGATTAGATTGCTCAAGTTTATCTGGTTCTTTGAGAATTCAGTTACAAAGGGAAAGGAGCAGCACTATTGATTCAAACAGAAATAAATCAATAGTGAATAAACACTCACATTCTGGCCTCGCCCCTGTCCAGGTTTAAGTGCTTCCAAATTGCAGGAGAAGAAAAGAGGTGATTTTTTTCCCCCCTCTCCCCTTGTTAATTGTCAGAAGGAGGTTTGTTATTGATGTATTGCCTTTACTTGTTTTTCACATATTGTAAACAGTTTAACAGTAGTTTTTGTGATTCACAGTTTGGGGTTATTTTTCTCACTGTGGCTAAAATATTACACGTAAAGCAGATTTTGATGCCCGTGCCTTGCTTTTCCAGATTTATCCACTGTACTGATGATTCCCCCGATCCTTCCCTGAACTATGAGGTAGGACTCTGCACGATTCCTAACTAATTTGAACAAAATGCTCACAGCCTGGGTGCCATTTGTGCCTGGGTGCACATCCATAAAATGTGTTGTGTTTGTTTTATCGGCGTTGCTGGCGCAGTGAGGGGGGGGTCTGGTTGAGCACTGCGGGTCGTAAGGAGTTCATTGAACTGCAGATCAGGTGAGCTGAAGTGCAGCCTTGGGAAGCTTCCTGGCAATTTCCTCTCGTGTCTGTCAGCTTTTGACAGGAAGGACAAGCCGAGTAGCTGAAAGCCATAAATTCTTGATGGTGTGCTGCTTGTGAACATCACCCTGAGGTTACTGAGGGAGGAACTCTCTGCTGTGGCTGGGGACATCCTGCACTGAAGTGTTCTGTCATATCTTGTTTCATATGTTTGTTACCAGATTAAAATGTTCAGCTAGACGTGCTTTAAACTGTGAGCATGGAGCTACTGCTTTTCTGGCAACATCTAGTCATCTCTCTAATAATAGTCTTTATGTAAATATAACATTTGTCATCATCTTGTGGGCTTAAAGGACTTTAGAAAAGTGAATGAACCCCTTTTTTTTTTTTTTTTTTAAGCTCTATCAAGTTTGCTTTAAAGATACAGGACATGTGAAAGCTTGAACAAAGAGTTCCATGTTTACTGAGTAGTTAGGAATGTTATCTCTGATTACTGAAACTGCAGTTGAGGGGTGTTGGGAGTTTCCAGTACCCAGCAGCAGTAACTGGGGCCTTCAAAAAAATGGATCCTTCCCAACACTTCAGCTTAGGAAATGCAGAAACTTGAGGAAGTGCCAGAGAGATGCTTTAATTACCAGGCAGTCTGTCCTATGGACTGTAATAGTTTGCTTTCTATTTCTGGCCTGTGTCCTTGTTTTAACTGGTTTGCGCCTTCAGAGGCGTCACAGAGCTCTGCTTGGGTGTGTACCAGAATAGAGGTTGATTGGGATAAATTTAATTCTGCTCATCAGCTCCTTTGACTGGGGAGCAACTTTCTGCCAATTCCATGACAGATTTGTTGTGTTGTACAGCAGGGTTTTTATTTTCCGTGCTTTATCAGTAATGTAACTTGGAAGTCGATTCATAAACGATTTCACAGTTATAAATACTTAAATAATTAATTAAGGTGAGAAGGGGCCTCAGGAGGTCTTTAGTTCATTCTCATGCTCAAAGCCAGGTAAGAGTTCAGATTGGCTTGCTTGGCATTTTATCAAGCCTGGTCTGAAAAGCTCTGTGGGTGGAGGCTGCACAACCTCCCTGAGGGAGCTGTTCCAATGCTTGACAGCCCTCATGGGGAAAACATTTCTTGTGTGCAGTGTGAATCTTTCTGCTTTAAACTACTTTGGATAGATGGTCTTTAGAGGTGCCTTCCAACTGAAAGCCTCCTGTCATTCTCTGAAATGGATGTTAAGTCTAATTGCTTGGAAGGATTTGCTAAAATGATTATGTGAACTGCGGGTTACGATTGTTTTGCTTTCTTGTGTCGTAGGTCATTTACCACTACAGCAGAACTGTAGATGTAGATATGTTGACAAAAAGTCACCTGTTATCTTTCTGAGATGAAAATATTTTGTTTTTTGTTTTTCCTCTACAGCTTGTTCTTCGCAAATGGTGTGAACTGATCCCTGGTGCAGAATTCAGGTGTTTTGTCAAGGAAAACAAGCTTTTAGGTAAGGATGTTCTTAGACAAATTTATTAGATGAAGTTCTGAGTAGTTTCTCTGGTTCCTTGAATGAGAGCTAAATCTGAAGACAGTTCTTGCTTGTCACACCTCATTTCTGAAATTAATGATTTCTCCTTCCTGTAATTTAAAATGTGGCGTGCCACATTTCTCCATCCATTGCATTTGAAAGCCTGACAGCACAGCATGCTCACCATCGCAGGGAGAATATTCCTAATTGAATTGTTAATTCAGAAACTTCCCCCAGAGGCTGTTTTGTGAGTGATTCTTTTCTATTCAGGAGCAAATTGCAGCGTGAACACAGAGCTAATTGTGTGTTGTGCTGCTAAGACATGACCCCATGTGGATACTACATGCAGAAAGTTGGGGAGGTCAGAACATCTCCACGGGTGTCTGAGGTGTCTGAGTTCATGGTATGATCAGTGTAGCTTAATCAGAAACCCTGTTGTTCTGTTACTCTGGTTCCAAGTCCTAAATGTAGAACATTTGGAGTGGCACTGAACAAGCAGGGTATCCACAGCATGCAAAGAGCTGGTGGGCACGCTGGGAGACCTCTGGCAGCTGGAGAACAGGCAGGTTGTGCTAGAGCACGTATTTTAGGCAGCTCCAGGGTGACTGAGGGCAAATTTAGCTGAATTACACTCCTCTGGTCGTGTAGATTATTCTCTGTTGACTACAGCAGGAGCTGAGACATCCAGTGCACAACCAGGTGCTTGAACTGAGTGGTTTGATTTCAGGCTAAGTACCACTGTGGAGTTTGAATTTGGTTTTGGTGTGGTCTACAGCAATGCAAATAGCACAGGGCTGGTGCACATTTGTTCTCACCAAGGTTCAATCATTTCTGCCTGAACTCTTCCAACAAGGAGATGTTGCAGCAGTGATGTAGCAAATCCAGACTTTGCAGGAAGGAAGGTGATTTTTTTTTTTGCTTTAAGATAATACCAGGGTTGCTCATTTTGTCTGTCTCATCCCTACATATTCACAAGCTCCATGTCTACGGGTGATCCATCCAGGATACCTTGGGATGATGTGGAATGCAAGGGTTATTAGCTGTGTAGTCCTCATTGTTTTTCCTGTCTTCCTCTCAGCATGGTGACTGTGGGCTTGTTCTGGATGTGCCTTTTTTTACCTCTTAGGAGCTGTCACTAATTTATTGCTCCTTCCAGTCCCACCTCTGGGAATCTTTAGGAATGTACTCCCTGGTTTTTGTTTCCTGATCTGAGTGTCCTGTGGAGCTGCACATGGATGTTCTGAGCTGTGCTGATCCAGGTGCTGTCAGCACATACCGGTTTCCTAAGCCCTTTTGTTTGGCTGTTTCTTCTGGTGCTCCTACACTCATCATCCCATTCTCTCTCCATTTATGCCAAGTGCAGGTTTGTTACAGTTCTCTGTGATGGTTTATCTTGCTATTAGCAGGGATTGTCCATTGGGTCAGGATTGCTCAATGGCCACTGGCAGAGCCTTTTGAAGGGAGAAGAGCTGAGTCCTGTCCTGTCCTGTGCTGCTGTGAGCACCACAACTGCCAGAGATACACAGCACCGGAATAACCTCTAAAACATTTGAATTCAGTTTTGTTATAGAATATATATATATAGTAGTATTTATTTTCAAATGCCTCAAAGCATTTGTACACTGGCTAATTGAACACTGTACATTTCATGACTAGGATTTGAAACTGTAGATCTGCCAATATGTTTTTTTTTTTTAGCTAGCACTCCAGCTGCATTTCTGAAGATAGTCCCAAGATTTTCCACAATGTGTTCCCATGCTCTTAAAATTAATGAGCTGTCAGTCAAACTAAGGAGTGATAGTTGCAGTGTGGTGAATGATTTTCCAGTTACACATCTGCCTCCCCTGAGATGCCGTCACCTCTTGGTTTTTGTTTTTCAGACTCAGCTTCAGCTTTGCAGTGGTGTTAAAAAGTCCAAGTTCCACTGCCATGTCACTGATTTGGGGATTTAAGCTTTCACCTGTAGTGCCTCATCGAACAAGCACCTGCTATTCCAAACTTAAAAAATCTGTTCAATGAGAATCTGTGGTCCGCAAGGGTCCATCATCCTTGCTGATGTGCAAGCTCAGCCTCTCCCTCTCTCATTTCCTGGTTCCAAATTGTGGTCCCTGCCTCTGATGTGCAGAACAAGGTTTTTGACCCCGGTAACCAAGAGGGAATAAAACTGAAAGGAAAAGACAGGAACTGGAAACTTAAACAGACGGGAATGTTCCTCCTGGAAATCACTTCGAAATAGTCAAAGGGTGTGCATATAAAATGTAGGACAGGGCTGTTCAAGGACAAGATTCCTAATGGAAGTACTTTCAGTACAGGAGAATAAAGCTAATCAGTCAGTCATTGGTGATGGTTGAAACCTGGAAGAACCCCATCTTCTGAAATAGAAATGATCACATGCACATGCTTGACAACTGCATTTTTTCAGGTTGTTTTTTTTGCACGCCCAGAGCCCTTTGTAATCAGCTGAACTCATTGACAGGTATATCCCAGAGGGACTACACCCAATACTACGACCACATCTCCAAGCAACACGAGGACATCTGCAGAGCCATCCAGGAGTTCTTCCAGAAACACATACAGTATAAATTCTTGGATGAGGACTGTGAGTATGTTCAGGATGTCTGTGGATGTGCATCCCTCTCTTCACAGCTGTTGCTTTCCCATTCCCACAGCTATTGGGCCTGTTTAACTTGGGAGAGTCATGCAGCTCTTGTGGCTTTGGGATCTGGAGGAGCGAAGGTTTGGGGTGGCTGTAAAACTGGCAGCAAAAAAAACCCTGAAGGAATAGGCTGGAGCTCTTCAGAAAAACACAGTAAATGAGTGAAAGATCCCTTCAAGAGGCATAATGCCTTTTTTTTTTTAAGGCGTTTTCCCCTTATGCTTAAAAATTTTACGCCTGAGAAGTAAAGTAGGAGATCCTTGACAAAAGGCCTTCAGTAGTAAGAAGAATACTTGTTTATAAAGATGTTGTCAGATGTTTGCTGCTAAATTATTGGCGTATTTCTTGAATAAAGTATTTTTAAGTTTCTTTTCAAGAAGTTGGAATAATTTCTCCTGGAATATGAATGCAAGCACCAGTCTAGGTGCTGAACCTTTTGAATAAAGGCCACAGTGTTTGATACATCCAAGCAGCCCAAGTAAATCGTCTTGTTGTTTAAAAGTGAAGTCCTTCCCAAATTCTACTGGCAAGAGTTTCCTGACATGGTTTAGTGAGAATAGAATACTGTTCCATTGTGATGGGTGATCAGTCGAGGTGAAAAACATGGGGAAGAAATTTAAATTGGGTCTGGCCTGGACCAAACCTCGGTTGAGTAAAATACATAAACAGAGGAATTGTCTGGTAGTTGTGTTGTCTTCTCTAAAGCTTTGAAAATTCAACCTTTAGATAAGTTTTGAACATGGTTGGTTGTTTTGCTGAGCCACCAGGGCAGTCAAGTAGATCTGTCCTCTCTGACTGTCTGAAAAAAGATACCTTCTAGTGCTGTGATCTGTTGTATCAGAATTGTTAACAATTTAACTCTGCAGGGTTCCTTTGTTTCTGTCCAGAGAAGTTCTCAAGGACCACTGCTTGGAGAAGAGTAGCAGCCTGGCAATCAGTACACTAATTTAATAGGTCCAGAGCCTTGTGTTTTGAATTAAGATCAGTCATAAAGATCTGACATTCTGATTACTGTCTTTTAATTTTCCTCTGTGTTCCAATGTAATTTTAGCTGGTGTGTAATCAACTGATAGATAAGAATTCAGGGCACTATTTTTGGAAATTGATGCCTAGATTTAGGCTCTGAAATTGCTGCCTGGTGAACTGAAAGGTCTGAAGTGTCATCTTATGTAAAGGATGGCATCTGAGTTACCTTCTGGGAAAAGGAGGTTTCAGGGTGACCTTCTGGGATGAAGGTTTGTTAACCTTTTTGTTCTGAGACACTAAATGCAGGTCCACCTGCAGAGAAATGTCACGCAGAAAATGTTTTCTGGGTTTTTTGTGGATTTATTTTTTACCCCCTTTCATTTACCCCTCATCATCTCCCTTGATCTGGTAGCATATGTGTTGTTAACGATAAAATCTGGCTCTGCTTGTTTGTTTGCTTTTAAAAGGAAAGGTATTACAGCTTTTTTTTTTTTTTTTTTCCCTGACTTCTTGTTTCGTTGGGGATTTTGATGCTGTTTGCTCTGCTTTTTCCAGTTGGTCTGGTAGCATCTCCAGATGGAAGAGTTGAGTCAGAGCAGCTGAAGCATTGCAGAGTCAGAGCAGTAGGATAACAGATGGGTGAATGCTTTATAAATACTTCTAAATTATGTTAGAACCTTCTAAATACCTTTCATAAGAACCCAGTAAAACAGTGCTCTGGAGGTACCGGCACTTGCTGAGAGCTGGGCCTTGGCTTGCCCTCTGTGTGTGCAGGTTCTGGTGAAGTTTAACTCCACTGGCACAGGACAGTCCTGCTCTGAGGTGACCCCTGAGGAGAAGTCCTGGGGTTGCTGTTCTCCTCCTTGCCCTGATGGCTGGATCAGCCACTGAGGGCTTCTCTCCCCGAGAAAGCAGAGCACTTAATCCTCGAGTGATGTAAATTGACGCAATGGAGCTCGTGCCAGAGCTCTGTGGATGTTTAGGCTGGATGGGCAGAGCCAGATACGTGCCTGGCTTTGGCTCTGCGGAGTTGTGGTTTGCCCTTAGCCCAGCCAACCTCACACGAAATGTCAGATTAAGCCTTAAGTGCGTGGACGTGATCAATCAACATTCCCTGTTCCTGATGGGCAGCTTCCTGAGACTCGAGTGTTCTGCAGTCATATCCTGAGTTTAGTTTATCGACATGTATTGGGAAATCTCTTAGCTAAAATATTCCCTTCCTTATTCACGAAGGAAGTGACAATACAGCATTTGTCTGAGGCTTTTCTAAAGCTTTTTTTTTTTTTCTTCCTGCTAAACTGGTACAACTTTTGCATGTGGCCGTGCCCTGAAGGCTTACCTGTGGATTTCTCTGGCTCAATAGAAAGGCAACTCAAGGATTTGTTTAACCACACAGGACAGCAGCTGACAGAAAGCTGCATGTACAGAGGTTCATGTTTCATTGAGCCAAGGGGAGAAAGAGCAAGAGCTTTGTGTCAGTCACCGAGCCCAGGGGGTGTTTGAAGGAGCCCTTGGTGATCGGGAGGTGTTCTTTGTCTGCTCTGGGTTACATCAAACACGGCACCCACCCCTTTGTTCTACAACCTGTTTGTCTTCTTAGCTGCTGAAGGCCTGACCTCCCTCAAGCAGGAACTTTCTCTTGTTAAATGGTTGTGCAGTGTCCAGCACAGTGGAGTCTTGATCCTGCCTTGAAACGTCTCCATTCTGCTGCAAATGAAACAGCAGCAATGTCCAAGATAAGCTTCTCTCTGGGCTTAGAGTTTAGCAAATGGTCTTTGCTGGGGGGAAAAATCAACAGAGGAAACAAGCATTAAATGGCAAAACCCAGCAGCCAATCTCCCAGTGCATTAACAGCAGTTCTGAAATGCTTCAGCTCCCTCTTGGAAATGAACCTAATTCTGGCGTGCAGTTCTTCAGGCATATTGACTTTGCAGATTGTGCTGTGTACACAATTATCCAGATTTAGATGTCTTTGGTGAAATATATATCGTTGAAGATTAACACTTTTTTTCTCCTTTTCAGTTGTGTTTGATGTGTACAGAGACAGCAGGGTAAGTGAACAATAGGCTGTATATAATTATTCATTCTGTGAAAACCCTGAAATGCTGAGATGAAGCAAGTAAGAGCTTTGTCTTCCTAGAAGTGGTTTTGGGACAAAACCAAAAACAAAAAACAAACAAACAAATTTCACGAAAACATAAAACCCAACCAAACAAAAAACCTCCCAAACCCCAAAACCTATTTGATGTTATTCTTTTCCACAGGTCTTTTTCTATGTTAAGCTCTGTTTACAGTAGGAGAATAATAGGATTAGGGGTGTAAATATGTCTGTGCCAGTGAATTATTTACCATCTTCCAGATTATTAGTATCTTCCAGAGAAGCTGTCATTCCTAAAGCGAAGAACTTTGGCTTCAGCTGCAATTCTGTCAGTTCTGTGAATCTACTGGAGGCAGCTTAATTTTCATCCAGACATGGAGAGTCTTTGCTGCTGCAATTTAGAGCTGAATAGACTATTTCAGTCGGAACAATCATTGACTCCAGTTGCCTGAACAATTCAGGGCTGACCAGAAATTAAAGCATGTAATGGACAGTGCTCTCAGGCACATGGTGGGATTCTTGGGGCTGTTCTGTGCAGGGCCAGGAGGTGGACTTGATGATCCTTGTTGGGTCCCTTCCAGCTCAGGATATTCTGTGACTCTTTGATTAAAGGCACTGACCAAATGTCTCTTAAACACAAACAGATTTGGGGTGTTTTCTTTTAAGATAGCAGTTTCCCTGGGCTCCATTTTTTTCCCCCGTGTGTTATTTTCCCCTGTGGCACCTGAACTCATCAAAACTCATTAACATTTCTTGCAGATTATCCTTGTGAGGTTGGAAAATGGTAACTTGTGCTTCACCTATGGAAGCCTAGGATGTGAAGGGATAACTGTGAAAAGGGAATATGCATGTGGCACATCCAGTTTGTGACAGATGGAAGCTGATTTTTATTTTTCCAGCTCTTCCAGCTGTGGTTCTGAGAGCTGGGCAGGTCAGAACCCCGGACACCCAAATGGTGATGGAGCTGGGGAGAAAGGTTCCATCTCAAATGTTGAAAAGACACAGATGTGGCACTTAGAGATGTGGTTTAGTGGTGACCACAGTGGTGCTGGGTTAAAGGTTGGAATTTATGACCTTAAAGGTCTTTTCCAACCTTAGCAATTCTATGAACTTCACGTGCCAGTATCAGGGTTAGTCACCTTGACTTCTCCCAGAGCCAGTGGAGAGAAGTACTTGGTCAGATGAATTGTGCTTGCAAGGCACACATATATTGTTTTAAAAGCAACTACAACCAAAAATGCATTTTCTAGCCTTCAATCTGAAAACCTGATGTAGGGAATCACAACCTGATTTTGAGAATCACATTAGTGCGTGAAAATTAAATGTTTAGCTTAATTTTTTTTTTCCAAATCCTAAACCAGAAATGCAAAAACAATGGCTGTAGACTTTTGTTCTCTACATTTCTGGGTCTCACTGTTTAGCATGTTTAAAGTTATGGGATTGGAGAAAGTCTTTATTTGAGTTGAGTTGGGAGTATTGGGAGCAAGTCCCGATTCCGAGTTTGAATGTTGCTAAACTATTTTGGAATAGTTTAATAGTAAATCATGCCCATAGCTCACAAAACAGAAACTAAACAGGATGGTGCCTCATGTGGAAAAACAACTACTGTCCTGTTTCTCAGCACAGCTTTTAATGTAGGTACCTAAATCCAGAGTGTGGGCTGGGAACAGCCACTCTGTAAGGAAAATTACCTGCCCAGGCTCAGCTCCTCAGACAGAGGATGCTGTCAGGGAAGATGAGGAGCAGCAATCCAGCACTGAACCAGACTCTGCTGGTGGTTCTCTGCCTCACAGCTGAGGCACGAAAAACCAGATTATTGAAGTAAAAGCTTTCAGCCCGTGGGATCTCAAATGAGCAGCATTTCTTCATCTGTCAAGATAAAACATATCTGTTTGTGGACTTCTCTCGGTGCCTTTTACCCTCGGGTTTTGGAAACTGCCAGCTAGCCCTTTGTGTGTCAGCTCCTCCTCCTTTCACACGTACTTGTGTGGTTTGCAACGTTATTCATCGCTCCCTTTGTGTGCGAGTTACGGGCAGCAGCGAGAGAACACCGCGTGTTTGGCGGCGTGATTCATTTCCAGAGCCCCTGCTCCTCATCGCGCTGGTTGCACAGCAACCTCACCTACAGAATGAGACAAATGTCCACTGTCTGCTTGTTTTAAACACTTTCAACTCTTAAATATTCAGCTTGGAGGAGCAGCTTGGTGTTTGATGTGGCTGTGAGTGAGAGGAGCCTCAGCGAGGAAATGCAGTGAGTGGCTCCAGCCCACTGTGGGCTCCCAGCTCTGCTGAACGTGCAGTCAGCAGCGCTTGTGTCTCTGCCTTGTGAGTGGTGTCACCGTGCAGGAAGGCGCAGCTGGAGTTAGTGAGGGAGATGTAACAGTTCAGTTTGCATTTTATCTGTCTTTGGCTTCCTTTAAGCAGCCTGTGTCGTAGGCACTTCCTTTCAGCAACGTGCTGCTTAATGCTCCAGTAAAACAAAGTGTGGAGCTGCCATGGTGTGGTAAATCTATTGGTTCCTCCTTTTAGGATGAGAATAAAATCTTTTGTATTACAAGTTGGGGTTTCTTTTTTTCCCCCTCCAGGTATGCACAACTTTGTTTTCCTGGCTTGTGCATTTCCCATAGCAAAGATTACTAATAGCAGGCAGAAGAGGGCAGATAAATAGCTTTACTGCTGTTCTTTAGATAAACAGTGCAAGCCATCTGAAACTACATTTAAATCGTGACATCGCATGGAAGAGTTGAAAGCAAATTTAATCTGAAGAAGAGACAGTTTGGTTACTGACCCAGGGTTATACACACTCCTTTTAATGAGCCCTGGAAAGGGATGTTTGGTTTGTTTTGCCACTTCTCATCAATTTGCAGCTGCCAAAGCTCAGTGCAGATTTAGGCCCTCTCAAGGAAACAGCTGGTGTTGTAGATGGGGCATTGCTGCCTGCAGGAGTGGAGGGAACACCACTGGGTGCTCACAAAAACGGTGCTGCTCTCAGGAGCCTCAAACCCAGCTTCAGTTTTTTCCAGGGTACAGATCTTCTCCAGAGAAATGATCTTGTGTTCCTGTGAAAATGCTGCTTTTGGTGTGTTTGGGGTGAAGAGGGATCTCTGTGAACTTTTGTGGGGAAGCATTAGGTATAACTGTTTCTGATCCAAGGAGAGATTCTCTGAACTGATGAACGAACTTAGCCAGCTGTTGTTTCTGTCTGTGATTAAATTGGTTCATTAGCTTGTTTTTGCATCGTGACAGAGTGAATCTAAACCCCCAGATCAGTCCTCGTGCTGTCTTGGAGCTACCAAGACATCCTCATTAGCAAAAATAAAGCATGGCTTGTAGTGAGAGTTTGTGCTGGCCTTTTGAGGAGGACCAAAGATGGGAAACGACAGCAGATGTTTGCCTCTGCACTGATGGTGGCAGTGTTAGTGCAGGGGTGTTGCAGCTCAGCCAGGGGCTTCTTCACCCTTCCAGAACAAATTAGAAACCACTCAGGACTGACCCCCCCCCTCATTTCACAGTTTCTTTTGCAGCTGTCTGGTTTCAGCACTGCTGGTGCCGTGGTTTGGCCTCTTAAAATATGCCCCGTGGGAGCTGTGGCCCGTGGGCCTGCCCTGAGAGAGAGAGAGAGCCCTGTGACACCCTGTGTGCAGCTCCACACCCACTGCTGGGCTGCTGGCTCAGCTCCAGTTTGCAGATGACATCACTGCTTTCATCTGCGCTGGGACTCCCCGTGCCTGCACGAGGGACTGGCTGTGGATGGCGACGGAGCAGCCAGAGCCCTTCTGTCCTCTCTCCGTGGGGTTTCCATGCATTTCCTCTTCCCTGGTATGTCAGTGCCCGTGGGGTAGCTGAGGTGTGTGGGTGGGAGAGGCAGTCCCCAAGTTACTCTGTGCTGAAGGCTGCAAAAGCATCTCTGGGAGATAGAAACCAGAGGGCTGGAGTGGAAGTCATTGAAGATGTTTGCTGTTGGTATCAAGATGGGCAAGATCTTTTAAAGAAAGAAGATCCTTCAGTAATGAGGGGAAGGAAGAGAAAGCAGAATGAATGGTTAGTAGCTGCACAGGCTTGTTTTCCAATTCCAGTTGATCTTTAATAAACACAATAAAATTCTTCAGCCCTGCTTATATAACTGCAACCTTTTCCTTCCATATTTGATAGAACTGATTTCTCCCAGATGGAATACTTGTTTTGTAGAGTCTTACCAGCAGCTGTAGTCACATTTAATTCTAGTTTATTACAATATTTTCTTTTATTAGAATAGCTGACACTTCCCTGGATGAGGAAAGATGGCCCTGTGCTGGGGGTTGTGTCTTGAGGTGACTCAGGGGACACAGTTCCTTCCTCCCACACACGTCTCTGTTACCTTTAATGTGCCAGTCTCTGCTTTCATTTCCCAGCTGTGCAGCAGGAGTGCTGCTGTGCACACCACACAGCTGTTTGGAACACAAAAACATTAAAGTACAGGCACCAGAAACTGGTCTGGACTATTGGTAATGGCTGTGTTAAAAATGCCTCTAAGTTCTTCTGTGTTTATCTGTATTTCTAGAGCATCTTTGTGCTTCCAGGAGCTCCATTATATTTTTGTAGACCCTGCTCTGGGTTTTTTGGAGTCCCTTCAGAGGCCAAGAACAGCAATTCTTGTAGAATTTACTGAATATACAACAGGGGTGAGGTGGCTTTTGGTGGAAAGCAAAATCCTTGCTTTGGTGGTTTAGGTTTATTTGTTTGGTTGTGGTTTAGGTTTGTTTGTATTTGTTGGTGTCCTCCCTTATTCCTTGTTCCTGCTGTCTGGGGATCTTGGAGGACCGTGGAGATTAGAGAGAACTTCTGTGGCCTCATCTGAAAGCACCTGGCATAGAACTAAATGCAGTTTATTTGAGCTCTATTTGATATTTTGTTTTTTAAAAAAACTACTTAAAGTAAATTAGTAAGTCATAACTTGCTGTGATTTAAAACTGTATAATGTAAAGGATGTTAGGCTATTTAAAGTGCTTAAAACCAGGTAGTTTGTTTTGATATCTTTTTATCTAAAGACTAAACATACTGTAATAATACAAGTGTTTGTGTGTTGGTGTTTTTTTTTAGTTCTTTTGTTTTGTTTTAATTCTATGATTTGTTTTAACTCTTCTGTGGTTCCTTTGCAGGGTAGGATTTGGTTAATAGATTTTAACCCTTTTGGTGAAGTAACAGACTCCCTACTCTTTACCTGGGAAGAACTGACCTCTGGGAAAAACTTGAAAGGAGACCAGAGTGAAGGGGAAGCAACAGAGCAGGTGAGGGAGGCTCCATAACATCCAACAGCAGTTATGGCCTTTTTTTTCCCCTTTCTCTCCTTTCAATTTTTCTTTTAATATATTGCTTTTCTCTACGATCCCTTACATTTCTGTGTTGTTCCTGATGTCTGTCATACCGTTTCCCACATCTCCAGCTTCATGCTTGGTGGGGGGAGTCCAGAAGAAGCTTAAATTCTGTCTCTCCCTCATCTGGAACACCCTCAGGGGAGCCCTGTCCTCTGGTTGAGCTCCCTGGTCTTGCAGAGCAGGGCTTTTCCACCTCTCTTCCAAGCAGCCTTTCCTCCATAAAAACAAGTTAACTTCCCTTTAATACCGAGAAGGAGGAATAGCCTTAGTTTTTTGTATTCCAGCTTTTTTCTTTTTCCTCATGCTTGAGGCAAGAGTCCTCACAGCTCCACAACTGCTCGCACAGCCGGCTGGGAGATGGAAAATAGCGCGTTAGTAGATCTTGGGAAACACTTGAGGAGAGAGATCTGAGTCAGTGTGGGCTTTTATTTTCCAGCTGTTGAGCTGCATTAGAGGGAACTGAAATGACGTGCTTTGTTTGAGCTGATTTTAACCTTTGAGCTTTGCTGTGGTCCTGTGGCCATTTCCATAGCACATGGACAGGGAAACATCACTCCTCAGGCTGTTGTTCAGGCCATTATCTCTGTCTCACGTGGTATGAAAAACCCATTCCATGAATCTTCCTGCTAGAAGCTGTGTCTCCTTTGTCAAAACACACTCCCAGTTCTTGAGCTATCTGTGGGACACCCAGATTTTTGGTTTGGGATTTCTTTTTCTCTGTGCCAGAAGCTTTACACAATTTTCTGTAGTGCAGGCCTGGATGAAAAGTAGAACTTGTCTTCATGTTTCAGCTCATATCCAATCACAGAATCTGGTGTGAAGTGACTGATCTTCTCTCTTCAAAGTGAAACTCCTTATTGCTGTACAGTGGGCAATTAAATTGCATGTCAATGTGTCGAGCTGAAAATTATATAATTACCCAAAACCTGTTGCTACAGTTGAGCCTTTGGAGATATTTTTGGCTCTTTTGTAGAGATATTTTTTCCTTCAGTAAGTAAACTGGTTGGAAAGGTTATAACTTCAGTAAGGTTATAATTGCAAATGTGTTTAAACAAGGAAGCCGTGAAGCCAAAGTTTGGGGATTCTTTCAAAAAGATTTTTCTCTGTGCAGATACTTATGTAGCTACTGCTGCTCCAAGGTCCTTGCAGCTAAGCACAGTATATTAAATCCATTAATAATTGATACATTGCAGGAACTTTGAAGCGAGGCAATGAAAGCCGTTCCTTGACTGTTTAACGTGTTTGACATTTTAAACTGCTCTGCAGTGGGCAGGGGTTTTGAGAAGGAAACTGCAATTTTTAGCAAGCACAAGTTGAGCTGAGCGAATGCCAAATAAAGTCACGGGCAACGTGACTCAGGCGGTCTCACAGAGGAGTTCACAACATTCTGGTGTCTCTCCCGAAGGATTATCCGGTTTTCCGCTGCACCAACAGCCAAGTCACTGTCCAGCCCAGCCCCTACCTGAGCTACCGACTGCCCAAGGACTTCGTGGACCTTTCCACGGGAGAGGACGTTCACAAACTCATCGACTTCCTTAAGCTGGTAAGAAGGGGCAGGAAGAATTCCTGACCTTCCATCCCTGTCAGATGGGAACGTCGAAGTCCCTGGAACTGTGCTTTTGTAATTAACACGGGTTATGTAATTATGGGAAAAGTAATGTATGAAGCTGTCACCAAATGTATTGTTTAATTAATTGTTTTTGAAGTGATGGAGAGCAAGCTTTCATACTGATCTCACTTCGGTGAGATCAGTATGAAAGCTTGCTCTCCATCACTTCAAAAACAATTGATTTTATCAATTTAAGGAATGAATGTAGCTTGTCACATCTTACTGAAGATGTTTTCTTCCTCATTTTTTAGAAAGATGTTTTCTTCTCTAATTTAAATGTAAATACAAATGTAATACAAATAGAAATGTTATTTTTGAATGCCTGGAGCTGATGCTTTTAAGAACCTCTTTAAAAGTTAGAAGGCAAGTATATTAGGAAAAACTCCAAAACAGTTATTCCTTTTTCAATACATTTTCTTTATTCTTTTGGTGAACAGTGATATAAAAACATGATATCTTTGGAAGGCAGGGAAGGGAGGGCAGGTTTACCTGCATCTTGACCACTGGCTCTTGCCACCACCATGATGCTTTCTGGTCCTTGTGTATTCCATTAGTTAATGCACAGGGCAAATCTTGCTCTTTACTGCAAATAAATCCTGTTGTTTGGGATGAGGGAGAGGGCTGATGTTGCTCTGTTCCTTTTTCTGGAAACATTATCTCTCAGCATTCAAAAAATGGCTTAGAAACGCACTCATTGTCTAATCCATTGTATCTGAAAACTCTTGTCATGATTTATTAGTGCTCCTATTTCAGATAACTGTGGCCTAACATTATGAACTCTCCTGTTCTGTTGACAGAAGAGAAATCAGCAAGATGATGACTGAGGACCCCAGAAGCATTACACTGAATTACAAGCGAGAAATGTGGCCACAGCTATATTTAGCATAACTATTAAACTATTGATTTGAAGAAAACATGCTTTTTATAGTCAATGAAAGAACTGAAGAGCTGTTCATCCTCTGTGTCTCTTGGTTTACATAAAAGTGTAGAAGAGCTTTTTCAGGGTAACATGAAAGGTCAGGGTGAGTTCTCACTGGATTCCAGGTGCAAGCAAGCCACGGTCTGAGTGCAATGAACAACTGCTTTCCCATCTCATATTGTGGAGATTGATGCCACTGAGCTCTGCCTTTGGACTCTTCACTGATAAATATGGCAACATGTCATGCTTGTGCAGGTAAAACATCCAGCATCCTCTGAGCTTAGGCACAGTCCTGCTTCAAATATGGTCGCAGAGAAAAAGGAATGTACATTTTTATCTGTAGTAACCTTTTAAAATTGTAAATGGATTTTCGTTCGGGAGCAGTTCTCGTCCATTATGTAAAAAAAAAAATAAATTAATAAAAAAGTGGAGAAGGGATGTTTGTATCTTCATTGTGAGGGCTAAGACTTTATTTCAGAGAGCAGCTGTAGCTACAGCAGACTACTTAGAGTTTGAAAACTTTGCATATCGGGAATTTGAAATTCTGAATGCATTTCAAGTAAAGTAGCATTATCACAGTCACTAAAGCGATGAAATTTGTTAAACTTCACCAAACTTCATCTCATTTGCATAGTAAAACCTATTTTTTTAACAGGATTACATTCTAGACATCATCTGTGACATTAGTCTACATAGTTAAATATATATAATATATATATATATATAATTTTATATTCACACTCAGTTTTATTTCTTTTGTATCTCTGAGTTTCTTAAGAACACAATTACTCTTTCAGCTCTTAAAATGCTGAATTCATTTGGTGAATTTTATTTTGTGCCTAAATGGAAGCTTGGCTAAATCTGAGGAAACAGAAGCTCTCGTTACCAATTGCTGTGATTTGGGAGGTGGGGGAGGGGTTGACTTTTGAATACAGGTGTTTGCATGGCATCAGTCATGGCATCAGTCATTCCTTAACAGTGTGCAGAGTTCCCTTTGAAAAAAAAAAGGACATTTGGAGCTGCTCAGAGCCCCTGGAAATTGGTTCTCGTTTCACAAACCAGTCATGTGATACTCTCTGTGTATATAAAGCAGTTCGTGTTTCTTTGCCTTGCTTTTGCTGTCAATTTGGAGTGGTGCTTGGTTACAATCTGTTCTTGGATGTTAAATCTGAGCTTAGATGGTAAATTATTACTTAGTGTCTTTATTTAGCTTCACTTTTGAATGAAAACTCCCTCTAGTTAAAGGTTATGCAGTTTTAGAATCCCGTTTCTCACCCTTATCAGAGGGATTATTTGAGTATAAACGTCTCCAAATCAGGTAGGAACTTCAAAGTGTAAAAAAAAATCAACCAAGCTTTCGTTTTTCTTTTAAAGTTTCTAACCATAACTTCAACTGATGTGATGATCTGCCCAGTCTTCCATTACACACATGATGCCCTGAAACTTCCCATGGATTCATAAATGCTTCTGAACTACAGATTATTGTCTTTAAAAACACAGTGTCTTGGTTTAAAGCTGTGAGATAGTTTCCTGCAGCTGTCATGTAGGCTCCACAAATTAATTTACCATTGTCTCAGCTTTTCTTGATGGGTATTTACCAGAACATACACAGTGATGGGACCAGTTTGATGGGACTCTGGAGTGTCCCTTTAGGTGAGCAGGCTGCAGTTTTGCTCCCCTGTGATGTGCTGACAGGTGCCAAATCTGAATTCATGATAGCCAAGCTACCAAACACTGATCCTGGACTTTATTTTGGAGTTGCAGGAGCTTCTCCCACTTTCTCTGGGTTTATCTCAAAGAAGAGCCACGAAAGGCAGCAGAGCAAAACCACTGGTCCCATGTTCAGCTCCTGGTACAGAAACGGTCCCCACGCTACAGGTCTGTTCTACACAGTCAGGCCCCCCAAAATATCAGATCCTTACAGCTTCAGTGCTTACTTTAGAGGTACTTTGCTTCTTTGCTCAACTTCAGGTAGTGATTTTGTTTGTCTGCTAGATTAAAGAATGCTCTTCTGAAAGAATTCTGGTCCCCTGTGACCTTTTGATCTGCAAGGTAATTAATGGACATACTCCTTTGGGGGAGGTGAGGAAGCTCGTGTTGATAGACTGAAAATGCTTCAGATCAGTTTTACACTGAACAGTACGACGCTGTTCTAATTCTATTTCAGGTCATCATAAAAGCAGTTTCTGGCTCTAGCCATCATACAGAAATTTGAAAATACAAAATTCCAATTGTTCAGGTGCTTGTTCACATGATTCAATTGTATGGCCAACTATAGACTATATATTCTTAATTATATGCTTAAAACAGTCTGTAAAGGCACTTGCAATCCCATCTAGATGACAAACACAAGCAGTTTCAGAGGGAGGGAATGTGCAGTCATTTTATACAGATCCTGTGCTTGCCAAACCCTTCCCAAGTCTGGCTGTGTCTCGTGGCTGGAGGAGGAAGATTCAGTTCTTGGACTGCAGCTCTGCCAGGAGTGCCAAGGAGAGTCCTGATTGTTCCACAGCCAACGCTTGCAATATTTAATCTCCTAGGTGGATAGTGGGGATCAGAATTCCAGTAACCTCGTAAGTAGAATTTGTTAACAAGTACTGGCTTAGTTCAGGATTCTGTTTGTACTCCTTTGACTCTTCTTTCTCTAGGGTTGCCCATGTTTTTCCTCCCCCACCAGCCTCTTATTTGGGTAAACATTTAGATCAGAATTGGCGGCAGCAGCGTGGATAACACTGACCCGAATTTTAAAATCTCCCTCTGTCCACTTTTCTCTTGCTCTTACAAAGACATGTTTCTGAGTAGTGCTCTATAATATCTAAAAAACACCCCCCAACCCAAGCACTAAGAGCAGGGGAGTGACAGCCAGCTCTGATCTCAGTAAAATCAACAGCACTTGTTGGATTCTGGTCACAGTATATAGCTCGTAAAAATCCACATAACTGCACCTGACACCCTTAGGTAGGAATTAATTTCATGTATCTCGTTGTCATGCACTCCCCTGTTCCTCATGTCCAGGATGGGGGGAAAAAGGTACCCTGTGAGATGCAGTTCAGGTGCCCATTTGAGCAACAGAGACCCTTAGACAACTGTCATGGTTTCAGGTGAGCATTGCCAGCTGAAGGGACTCCAAAACAGATCAGTGGTGCTGTGGAGATGAGGAACAGCAAGGCACAAACCTGTGGGGAAATCCTTCTGGTACCTCTGTGCGTGGCTGAGTTCAGCTTTCACAAGCTGCTGGACCACAGGGTGTTTGTCAGTGAGTATAACCAGGCAAATCAGCTTGATTTCAACCTTCAAGGCCAGTATTTTTGGCCAAGAGAAGATGGGCCTTAAAGTGTAATACAGAGACAGACCACAGTGCTTTTGATTCATAAGGGATGCTCGTTAACACTGATGTTTAGAGGCTTCATAAACCTATCTTAGCAAAAGCTTACCTGGATGTTGCATTAATAGTGTTTAATTTTCTATTGGAATTTGGTGACCTCTGTAAAGAGAAAGTCTCCAACTTGTGGTCATCCTGAAATTATATGGAATTAAAATAAGACTTGTTGCCGTGACTGGGGTGTTTTGTGCAGACCTGAAGCTTTCTCAAAGGCACAGAGCCCTTAAGCAGTGATGTGTGATTACAGATTTTTATGGTAATAAGGGCACTGGCACTGCAGTAAGTCTGATTTTGGGGATTTTGGTTGTGTTTTTTGGGGAGGAGGGAAGTTGAGGGGAGAGATTTTTTGCTGCTGTATTTCTCAGTGTGAACAATTGCAGCAATATGCAATCTGGGTGCCAATAGTGTTTTAGCTGTTCTGAGGTCCTCTGAACAGCTGACCAGGCTTCTTCCAAGGATGTGTTTTGGCAGCTTGTAGGGAAAGTTTGCTTGGCTGGTCGGTCAGAAATGCTGACTGCTCAGAACCTTTCTGCAGGGAAGCAGGCGAGTTACAAATGAACTTCCAGGGGAGATTTGTGACTCCTAAACAGCATTACTGGCCAAGAGAAAGAGAATGATCAATACTTGTTATTTCTAGTCTTTAGGGCTTAAATGCAGCTGGTGGAGGGGCTTGAACTTTTGGGTTCTGTCTTACCTTCTGCTGTGAAACTCTGTGTCCTGACAGACTGTTGCACTTCATTGACGTAAATGAATTATTCATGGTAGCTGGGACTGTAAGGTCCAGGAGAGAGAATGAGGCAACATGTGAAGCTAAAACATCTGTACACCACTATGAGGAATGCACAGGAGGAACTCTTTGTCAATATGTGTCGAAAATGACTGCTGGGCATCGCAGAGACCTCGAGAGATAAAAACTGCAGCCCTGGAGCAGAGACTTTTCTCTTGGGAAAGGCTGGAGGCTCAATGCTGAACATCAACAGAGTCTGTTTTACCAGAGCTTGGGTAACATGGTATCCCAGAATGGTTTGGCCTGGAATGGACAGTTGAAAGTCATCTAGTCCTGGATGGGTGTTATTCTGGAGCTGGCTGTTCTGGGTTACAGTCAGGCTTGTTTGATGTGGTTAAAACTTGTCAATTCAGAGGTAATTTGGGTGGAAAGTGGCTGTGGAGTTGGCATTGGGTGCTCTGGAGAAAGCAGGGAGATGAGAGAAGCAGAATAAGGACCTCAAAAGGCAGTTTTGGTAAGTGTGGAGGTTGATGCCAGGGTCCATTTGGGAGAGGAAAGGGGGAATTCTGAAAGAAGGTGCTTTTTTAATGGCCCAGCAGATCTCCTAATGTGAAGGGAAAATGGCATAGCAAGGGCTTCTAAGGATCAGTCAAAATGAAAACTGCAGAAATCTGAGGGAAAGGCACATGATTAAGTGTGAAAAGATGAGGGGATGGAGAAAAAAACGACGGATGATTCAGAGAAAACTGATGCAGTTAATGTTTTCTTTGCCTCCTTTCTCCTTTTTACAAGAAAGAGGGGGAAATGAGCT